AAGAATTGTGCAAGTTTTGCTCTTGAACTTTGAAAGTCTTGGAGATAACTCAAGAATTTGCCATAGATTGTGAAGATTAAAGCTCATTGGTGAGTAATTCATGTGTTTTTAGTTATCATCTTGTGAATTCAAGTTTGAATGAGGGTCAAGAACATGAATTGGTTTGATTTTGTTGTGTTAAAGGCCCATGTGTGCATGCATGTATGTAATTGCTTGAATTTGCATGTTTGAGTTTAAAATACATGATCCATGTAGGATTTTGGTTAAAGCTCATGTATAATCACCATTTGTATCATCTAAGTTGAAAATGGGAGCAATACATCACATGCATGTACAATTTATGAAGATAAGAGCTTTGGATGCATGAATGTGTATATTGGAATTGAGTTTCGTGTCAACTTGGGGCATGCATGTGTTTGATTCATGAAATTGAGCTCCATGATGTTGTGTTTTGGTATTTATATCATGTTAGTACAAGTATATGTGAAATTGGAGCCATAAAATGCAAGAAGTGTGGTTGAAATGTCGAATTTGTGCTCAAGAACACAATCTGGGAAAACCTTGAAATTTGATGTCCGCTCAAGGGGGGAAACTGCCGCTTGAGCGTGAATTTCTTGCTCCCAGTATTTTTTGCAGACCATGATGTCCGCTCGAGCGGGGAAGTTCACGTTTGAGCGGGGAGCTATGTGGAATGAACTTTCGCTCGAGTGTCTAAGTTCACGCTCGAGCGTAAAGATGATAGATCCAGTACTTTTTGCAGACATATTGTCCGCTCGAGCGGGGAAGTTCACGCTCGAGCGGGAAGCCATGTAGAGAGGCCTTCCGCTTGAGCGCCAGAATGAACGCTCAAGCGTAATTTTCACCTATCCAGTACTTTTGCAGGCCTCAAGGGTTCGCTTGAGCGGGGAAGTCCACGCTCGAGCGGGGACCTTGTTTTCTGAAATTTTGAAAATGCATTTTGTGTTTTGTTTTCTGTTCTCTTTCACTTCTAAGTACTCTTAGGCATGCATTAACCATTGTAATTGAGTTAAAGAGATAAGAATAAAGCCTAAAGAGGAAAATGTGAATTTGGGAACGGATTGAATGGTTGTTGACCCTTTTGTGTTCATGGACTGTGTATGGTCGAGCTCTAGGGCAAACTAACCAACCGATCACTGCGAGTAACATCGATATTTGAAACTTATCAGTTGTCCAATTGCTTATTTCCTTATAAGCCTTGTGAGATTGCCAGTTTGAATTATGGACAAATGTTTGATACGAATGAACGAATGGGCCAAAGGCCGTTTTGACATGAATGAATGGGCCAAAGGCCGTTTTGACATAAATGGATGGGCCGAAGGCCGTTTTGACATGAATAAATGGGCCGAAGGCCTTTTTGACATGAATGAATGGGCCAAAGGGCGTTTTGACATAAATGGATGGGCCGAAGACCCTTTTGACATGAATGGGCCGAAGGCCGTTTTGACATGAATGAATGGGCCAAAAAGCCATTTTGACATAAATGGATGGGTCGAAGGCCGTTTTGACATGAATGAATGGGCCAAAGGCCGTTTTGACATGAATAAATGGGCCAAAGGCCATTTTGACATGGATGGATGGGCCAGAGGCCGTTTTGATAGGAATGAAGAATAAATGTTTAATAAAAATGTGAATTGGGCCCAAGGCCGTTCGGAGTATGTTGTTCTACATATCGTTTGTGTCTTTTTATTAGATATTATTCACTGGGCTATCGCTCACGCTCATTCATGTGTTTGTAGGTGAGCCAAGAGAGGTCCAGACCCAGCCCCAGTGAAGTCTGTGTGGAGCAACAGAGTTTTGGAGAGTCAGCCCATGTGTCTCACGCATGAGACTCGCCTTTGCCTTTTGTCATTTTGTTTTATGCTGTTATATTGGCGAAGTCTTTGTATATGTTGTATATAGTTTTCATGGGTTGACTTAGTTTTTGAATGATCCTGTTTGTACGAAACTTATGCCACTACATTTCTGTTATGAGTTATTAACGTATATATGTTTGGTTGTTTGGATGTGCCATGTAAGCACCGCTCTATGGACAAAGTTTTTAAATTTGCTTCCGTTTGGCCCCCATTAGCTCTGTTAAAATACGTTTGGTTCGGATTGAGGCCGTAGGTAGTCTCATGATTACTGGCCGGTTGTGTCCTTAACCCACGGGGGCGGGTTCGGGTCATGACACAGGGTTTGCTAAATTTCCCCCAAAATAAAATATTTAGGTGGCGACTCTGTATCTGGCAAAGCAGTCTATGTTTGACACTTCTTTATAAAAATCAGTTTTTCAAAATGATTTGCCGGATTTGGATTCTTTGGTGATTTATCGGTCTTGCATTGCACTTTGTGAGATTAGATTCAGAACCGTGACACGAGTCCGAACTGTAGTAGCTAAGAACAAAACGATTTCGCACCCTCCCGCGCGAAGCCGGGAGTTCTCCGGGCGGTCTACAACCTCCCAGTTTGAAATGGTAGTATAATGATCCGTACAAAAAATTTTAAGATGATTTCAACCATACATACCATCAAAGAAACCTCAACAGTGCACCTATTATACTCAACATCCTCAAAAGTGTCCAATATATCTAATTTAGGAAGTGTGATACCCAGTAATACCCGTGGAAAAAGTCTGTTATAACACAGAAAATGAAATACAATTTGTGCTTATTGTGAAATGGTGTCAAATGAAACCTGTCAAGCTCACAAGACTAACCATCCTATTTTAATGTGGCAAATGACATAATCAAGTGGGCTTGATTTTTAATATGCAACATGCTTAAACAACCATGAATACTCATGTAATACATACACCTACTGTGCAAACCTCTCCATAGAGTGTAGTGTCACAAGAAGAAAGAACAGTTAATTTAGACATCAAAACATTAGTATGTTAAAAAAGTTAAATGAACAATATAAACAATTATAAGATTTTTCATGAACATTATTGAAGTAAGCAACATAGTTTTTTTTTTTAATCAGCAAAAAAAGAACTTTATTGATGGAATAAACAAGTACAAAGTACAAGGCAAATTACATCAATAAAGAAAAGAGAGGTGCAAAAGCATCACAATGGGCTAAATCATTCCAACGAGATTAGCACCATCTAGCTCATCCTATCATTTGCTAGCACCCCCAAAGTTGGTGAGAGACCAACGAGACCAGAAGAAACAATCAACAAAGACAGACAAACAACACAAGCAGACCAACCAGCAGACAAACATTGAAACAACAACCATTCATCAAAACAGACCAACCAACACCAAAACCCCAAAACCGCAACCAAAGGCAGATCATATATTGAAGCAATTGTTGATATTATGAATGTTGAATCAACTAACTCCACTACTGAGACTACTACTGATGGGGTAGATTTTGCAAAACGGATGCAATGACCAAACTATTGAATAATACTCTTAGCATCCTCTACAGATTTGGTAACACCAGGGCCCAATAGCAAAAAACCTCCAGACAACCCTTTCTAAGGAAAAATAAGGCCTTGCCATGCATTTGAGAAAACTAAAATGTATTTGATTCAAAATTGAAAATTTGACCAAACCTAGCAACTTCACAAACTAAATTAAACTCTTAACTGCAACAGCATACACACGCTAGCCTGCCTTCACTAGCATTGCAAATTGACACTAAGAAACAAAACAGAAGCAGCAAACACACACACATAGTAGCATACATACGCATAGTAGACTGAAACAAACTAACAGACTGAAGCAGAAGAATAGAGCCTGAGCCAAAGCAGTAGAAACTGAAGCAAAATAGTCCATCCTCTTACAACAGCAGCATACCTTCACACCTGAGTAAGGTAGACCAGCAAAATAGAGCTTAACACATAGCAGTCCACAGCAGTAGCAGTGTAAACTCTGAAGCCAACAATCAGTCCACAGCAGCAGCAGTAGCTCAACCATTGAAGACAGACAACAGGTGACAGGGCTGGAGTCAAACAATCAAAAAATCACAACCAATGAAAACAGATAGCAGATGACAGGGCTGGAATCAACTCCCCTGCCTAAACCAATATTCAAATCATACTGAACCAAATACATAGAGGAACCACCACAGCTGAACAAAGCAGACCACAATTGAGCAAGGCAGACCAACAAGATGTACCCAGAACCAGACTAAAGCAGTCCCAAACACCAAAGGCAGCAGAAGAACAAAAGAACAACAAATGAAGATGAAACAAAACCTGAGGTAGAGCAGCTGTAATTCTACTACAAGGCCCTACCAGACACACTAAACACAGCTTCTAACTTGATGGAGATTAAACACAAACTCATCCACTGTGTACCCTTGCCCAACTGAGTGAGTTTTCAGCCAAAGGGCTACTCTAGCTTTAATAAGCACACATAGATCTTCACAGATAGGTTGCAGCCATTGAAAAGATAGTCATTCCTACACTTCCAAAGGGACCATAAACCAGCAATCAAGATTGCTCTCCAAATTAGCTTTTCCTTTTTTCTAACCTTACAGCCCAACCACTAATGCATTAGCATAACCACTGAGCTACGGGAAACCCAGAGTAAACCCCACCACTTAATTAGATTGGATCAAACTTTCCAAGCAAAGGGGCATAACAACAGAACATGGTTAAGAGATTCAATCTCAGTCTGGCAGAATACACAGTCAGAGCTAACCGCTGCACTTAGGATGCCAAGTCTATGTAAGTGGTCAGAGGACTTTATCCTCCATTTCCAAGCCAACCAAGAGAAGAATTGGGCTTTAGGAGGGGAGGGGTTGTGCCATATCAGATCAGGAATTACCAGATTAGGACCATTCAAAGATTTACACCATTTAGCAGCACTTTTGGCAGTGAACATACCTGTAGGGTCAGATTTCCACCATAACGTATCTATTGATTCCAATCTCAATGCAGGGCCCTCACCTAAAACAACCCTTAATCTCTATAGTTCATCTTCCTCCCATGCTAATAAGGGTCGTCTGAAGCTAAAATCCCAATTGTTGTGCTGTCTAATCCTAGTCCACTACAATTTCAAAGTGATACCTCTAACCTCTGATAAAGAATAAAGTCTAGGGAATTGGGACTTCAAGCACATGGTTCCCATCCAATTATCAACCCAGAAACTGATTCTTTCCCCATAACCAATCTTGATTTCAACATCTCCATTTCCAATAAAATAATTTAACAAGCTGCTATTAGAATCACCAACAAATATAATGTCACTCCATACTCTTGAAATATTTGTTGCCTCCACATAGAATGGGAACCATCTACCCCCTTCTAGCTTATACTTGCTGCATATGACCTGCTTCCATAATGAACTGTCTTCCTTCCCAAATCTCCACCACCACTTAGCAAGAAGGCGGTTATTCAATGAACTTAGGTTTCTTATTCCCAGCCCACCTTGCTTCTTATCCATGGTTAACTCCTTCCATTTTACTAAATGAACTTTCCTTCTCACATCTGAATCACCCCACAAAAAAGCTGCTTGAATCTTGTCCAGTTCTTTTGCCACACCTCTAGGCAGCCTAAAAAGAGACATGTAGTATATAGGTAGGGAGGAAAGGACAGATTTGATTAGTGTTACTCTGCCAGTAAAAGACAACAGCCTCCTCTTCCACCCTGACAGTTTCTTCTTGAAATTGTCCACCACAGGCTTCCATGTGACCCTTCTAGATGGGTTTGTCCCTAATGGCAAACCAAGGTACTTCAAAGGGAGCTTATGATATGTACAATTCAGCCTTGAGGCAAAAATTTTCACACACTCCTCTGACAACCCTACTCCACGGACCCCATTCTTTTGAAAGTTGATCTTTAACCCAGAAATGATCTCAAAGCATCTAAGAATTCTCTTGATAGTTAGCACTTCAGACCACTCAGCTTCACAGAAAATAATTGTGTCATCCGTGAATTAGAGATGGGAGATATTGATGGCATTTGACCCAATGAAAACTCATTTGATCAAGCCCAGCTCTTTTGCTCTTGCAAGGAGTAGGTTCAAACCCTCAGCCACCACATTAAAAAGAAAAGGTGATAATGGATCACCTTGCTTAAGCCCTTTTTGGGGGCAGAGTTCAGGGGTGGGTGAACCATTAACCAACACAGATATTCTTGCTGAGGAGATACAAGTGTGAATCCGCTTCACCCACTTATCGCCAAAGCCAAAATTTGATAGCATTTGGAGGAGATAGTTCCAATTGACTGTGTCATATGCTTTTTGAAAATCCAACTTCAAAATCAGGCCCTTTCTTCTTGATTTTTTCCACCAATCCACCACCTCATTAGCTATTAGTACACCATCCAGGATGTTCCTACCCCCTAGGAATACAGATTGAGCAGCATCTATAACAACAGGGAGCACTTTTTTCAACCTGTTAGCAAGCACCTTGGATAGAATTTTGTAAGTGGAATTTATAAGGCTAATAGGCCTGTAGTCTTGAATTCCTAGGGGATTGTCTTTTTTAGGGACCAATGTAATAAAGGAGCTATTTAAGCCCCCCACCAAACTACTGTTAGCAAAAAAACTCCTTCATAAACATGATGATATCATTCTTCATAAATTTCCACCCTTTTTGATAGCAAGTCATGTTAAACCCATCCGGCCCCGGAGCCTTATTACTATCACAATCTGCCATTGCTGCCCAAATTCCATGTTTAGAAAATTCCACATCCAAGCTTCTGAAATGCTGGCTCTGTGTAATCACCTTAAAAGGGCCCAAAAGCTTAGGTCTATACGTCCATTGCTCAGAAAAGATTAAATTGAAGTGATCATACACAGCTTGTTTAACCTCCAAAGGTTCCATCACTAATTCCCCATTCACTGACATGGAATCAATGGCATTGGTGTTTTGCCTATTAGTAGCTATGATGTGGAAAAATTTTGTAATTTTATCACCCTTAAGATTCCAGTTCAACCTTGACTTCTGCAGCCAAATTCTTTCCATTATCTTTTTGAGCTTTCACACTTCCCTCCACACCTCTCTTCGCCTTTTACCTTCAACCTCATCCAGATCTCTACTCTCAGCAATTAGATCTATGGCATGCGAATTTTGTTCAGCTTGCTTCAGTTTAGAATCCATATTCCCAAACACTTTAGAGTTCCACTGCCGTAGAGATTGTTTAAGTGCCTGCAACTTGATCTTCAGTTTGTAACCTGCCCAGCCATCCACCGAAGTACCCTCCCACACTTTCTTCACCTGCTTTAGAAAAGAGGGATGAGATGCCCAAGCATTTATAAATCTATATGGCTTTGGGCCCTAGTTTCTGTCATCTTCTGTTAGAATAATTAGACAATGGTTTGAGATGGATCTAGGAAGACCCCAAAGTTTGAACCTAAACCAGACCAACCATTTTGGCGTAACAAGAAACCTGTCCAACCTGCTCCATCTTTTCCCTTCCAAAGAATTACACCAAGTAAATTTCCATCCCAACATAGGGAAGTTAATCAGTTCCAGACAACTTATGAAATTACAAAAATCTGCCATTCCCCTGTCCCTTCTTGCACAACCCTTCCTTTCATCTATTGATTTGATTTCATTAAAGTCCCCCCTATACACTACGATTTGGGAAAAACAACCTTAAGATTGATCAAAGAGACCCATAAGCTTCTCCTAGCACTTACATCATTAGTGGCATACACATTCACAATCACACAATCCAAGCTATTAAATAAGGAACCTGATAGAATGATAAAGCTCCTATTGCAGCAACAGTCAGTTAGATAGAAAACTTCAGGCTTCCATATACATAACAGGCCTCCAGCACTCCCATCAGCATCCACATTCATGTAAGCAACTTGGTCACAAGGCCAGATAGACTTCGCTCACTGATCTGAAATGTTTGCCCTTTTTGTTTCTTGCAACATCACCATATCCACCTTTCTTTCTTTGATAACTACTTTGATTCTCCTCTTGTTCTCAAGCCTACCAAGCCCTCTAATATTCCAAGAAAGAAGCTTCATGAGAATTTACTATCTACTCTTGAGTAGCCCTTGATGCTGATCTAAACCCTTGCACCATCACTCCTATCAGCAGCCTGTTCCATGTCATTCTCCTCCATTTCAATTATTTTCCTCATAACTTTATCATCTTTGCCTTCAAAATCAATGCCCAGAATTTGTCCAACTCGAATTGTAGCTTGAGCCTCCTTTAATAGCATATCATGTTTGCTTAATCTACTAGTCTAAGATAGCGAAGAAGAAATTGTAGCTGCAGCTGCTCTAAAGATAACCCCCCTTTGAAACCCCCTTTTCATCACTATTTTCCTCTAATTTCTCCGACCCTTTCCTTTACTCTCCTTGCCTTCTAGTCTCTTACTGCATGTAGTATCTTGATTGCTTTGACTAACTTCTTCAACACTGTCTACAGCAATGCCTTTGCCATTCTCCACCTGGGCTTGAACATGTGTTGGATCCAGATGCTCAGCAAATCTGCTACAGCTAGGGCCCAGCCCATTTGACTTAGACTTGTCCCTGTCTTGTTCATTCAGCAGGCCATTAAACTGGGATTGATCAAAGACTACTTCTAAATTAATACTGGGTTTTGAAGGCCCATTTCCACTTACACTTCTCATAAGCCCATCAGGGCCCAAGCCACTTTCAATTCTTTCACTTTCTGTAGTTACTCTCTGGCCCTTTCTTTGTGATTGCTACCAACAGTCCACAATGGGCCATATTGACCTCATCATTTTGACTTTTACTAGCAATACACTCAACTGACAAAATATTGATGAAAAGGGGGTTTCAAAGGGGGGGCCATCTTTAGAGCAGCTGCAGCTGCAATTTCTTCTTCATCATTTGACCTCATCATTTTGACTTTTACTAGAAATGGTCCACATAGTTTAATTTATAATGTGAGCACTTGCAAGAAAGATATGTATCTTTAATCGCATTACTTAACAGCCAAAGCTTCCCAATACTCTCTAGTCTGACAAAACAAGTTGAAAACTAGTCTGGTACCCAATGAAAGTTAACTTTCATCTCCACTAAGAAGGATAGAAGCACAAGTGAAGCAATTGAAAACTACAAGCACTTATGGTAGAGTGGAAATAGAAAAGAGATGAAATTTAACATATTTGTTCTTGTTTTTTTTCATATTAAAAAAATAAAAAAATAAAAAAAGTGACATCATTGAACTATGTTGCATGAACAAAAAAAAGTGTTGAGCAAAAATCAAAATGTCAGCTGAACAAACCTTCCCAGTAACTTTCTTATTCTCCACAGGTATAATAGCAGGATAAACGCGTTCTTTGATACTAAATCTATGGCTACAAAGAAAGAAAAGACATTCAAATGTGCATCAAAGATGAGAAATGGCTATGAAAGTTTTGACTTGAAAATATAACAACAATTTTAAGAAATAGAAATCTAGGATATACATCCATTTCATTTAATTTGATACTAGCATATTTTTTTATTTTCCTAATTGAGTATTCATAAGGAACAAAGACTTTTATAAATGAGATCAAGGTGTAATTGCACTTTATCTAGTAATAATATATAGTAGCCCTCTTATCTAATCACGTGTAAATCACCAATTAGTGTACTTACAGGAAAAAAGATACAAAACACAAAGGAAGAAGAACCATTCCTGTTATTCTCTTTATCCATCTCTCAGCCAACAAAACCATAGACACACACATGCAATCATCATCTAGTGAATCAAAATGTCAAAGAATTTTAACTTGAAAATGTTATCCAATTTTCCCCTCTAAAATTATATATATGCCCTCTTAAATTTTTTTAAGTAAATATATTAGGCCCACAAAAAAACTGAAATTTTTAAGCAAAATCACATCAAAAACCACAGCAAAAAACCTTGAACGCACTTTGAAACTATGGAATCATAAAATTAATGGTCAAATGAAAACAATGTTGTCAACAAATCACGATCTAAACAAAACTTTTCCACAGATATTTAAAAGAGCTATTTGAAATTTGCAAATCTGATCACAGACTAAAAATTTTTGACAAATTTCCCAACAAAAATTGATTATACATAAAAAATAAATAATAATAAACCTTTTTCCAAACCCGATCTACCATGAAATTTACAGATCTATAAGAAACTATAACGAATTAGCCAATTAAAATTGATCAAACATAAAAGCATAAACCTTTTCTCATACTTGATCTGCCACGTATCTAATTTTGACTAGATCTAGCAAAAAATAGAATCAAAAAAGGAAGAAAAAAATTATGAAATCAGAGATCAAGAGAACAGATTTATACCTTAAGGGCCTGAGGAGCAACGTCCCAACCCAAACGAGATGATGATGCATGTGCGTGTGTGGAAACTCGATCACACGTTCCATCTCCATGATTGAACAAAGATAGATCCAAACAGAGTTTAGAGAGAGAGAGAGAGATTTGCAGAGAGATCGAAGAGAGAAAAAGAGAATCAAAGAATGATAATGATCTGATTTGAGATGAAGAGCAAGAGAGATTGATCTGGTTCAAGAATGATAACAATCTGATCTGATATAATCTGATAATGAAAAAACTAGAAAGTTAATTAGCAGATCTAATTTGACAATGAGAAAGTAGAGAAGATGATAGTTCAAACTCGAACACCGATTAAGAGAACGAAAAATGTACCTTAGATGAAGAGCAAGAGAGATCGATCTGGTTCAAGAATGAAAACCAAACACAATCATCTTACCAAGAAGAATTCAACAATAGAGGACTCTCTCTGTCAAATCAAGACTATTTCTGATCAGTTAAGTCTTGCTGGATCACCAATTCATGATGAAGATCTGGTTTTACTTACTCTCAATGGACTACCTGATGAGTACAATGCCTTTAAAACAATAATTCATACCAAACCTGAACCTATCCCTATTGCTGCCTTATCTTCATTATTGTGTTCTGAATCCATTCATATTGAAGGCTCTCTTAAATAGGCTCACACATTAGACCTTCCATTTGCTTATGCTGCTACCAGAAAAATTCTAGAGGTAGTTCTCGAGGTTACACTAGAGGAGGATATAAAGATAACAATTCAGGCAGATTTTATAAAAACACTTACATAGGTGGAGGACAAGGCAGGTCTACTTCATCATCATTCTCAAATCCTACCTCTAGTCCACATAACACTCCTTCAAATCAACATGGACTGATCTGTCAAATTTGTGGTAAACCAAACCACTCGGCCATGGATTGCTGGCATAGAATGGATCAGGCTTTTCAATCCTCTTCTTCACAAGCAAGAGGACCACATTCTAAAGCCTATGTTGCCTCTTTTTCAATTGCTTCTGCTGCTCAAGAACATCAGTCTACTACTGCTGCACTTGGTTCTAACTGGTTCTTAGATTTTGCAGCCACCAGTCATTTCACCAATGATCTTAATAATTTCACTCATTTTCAGTCCTATCAAGGTTCTGACCATGTCACTATAGGAGATGGTTCTGCTTTGCCTATTCATCACACTGGTAATGGTCAGCTTCCTACACCTTCTACTTCTTTTCATCTTCATAATTTGTTTCATGTTTCTTCTATTTCTGCCAATTTTTTATTAGTTCATCAGTTCATAAAAGACAACAACTACACCATTACTTTTGATGCAGATTGTTTCATTATACAGGACAAGATTTCTAAGAAAATTCTTCATAAAGGTCCTCATTCAACTGGTTTTTATCCTCTATCAGCTTCATTTGTTTTTCCTGCTACTTCTTCCACAACTTGCTTCAAGTCTTCCACTACTTCTCCCTGCAGCAAGACCACTTGGCATAATAGATTAGGATATCCTTCTAGTAATAAGTTGCAATTTTAGGGCCGACTAAGACTCCGAATTCGGAGCGCCCTTCGTGGATATCACGATTGGCCAAACAAAGTCTCCGATCTCGGAGCCCCTTTTGGTGCATGACACCTTAGGGTCGACTAAGTCTCCGGATTCGGAGCCCCCTTTGGTGCATGACACCTTAGGGCCGACTAAGTCTCCAGATTTGG